TTTTTTTTTTTTTTTCCTCTTAGCAATCGATGATTAACTTTTTCCAGGTCAACCGTCTGAATCTACTTTTTTTTTTTTTTAGATACTGGAGATTAAACCCAGGCAAACTCACACCTAGCTACAGCCCCAACCCTTTGTGTTGTTTTTGTTGTTGCTGTTGAGAGGATTCTCAAGGCTGGAGAATCCACGAGTCTCCTACCTCAGGCTCCGAGTGCCACACGGAAGTAACTCCCGATTTATTAGATGCCAGATGTGCTGAGTTGGTCTAATGACACTCAGGAATGGACGCAAGGACAAAGGAATTTAAGAGTGGGTGAAGAGAGCCAGCTCCCAAGAGACAAGAGGGTTCCCGAAAGTGGGTTGCCACTGAGACTTTGTTCAAGGGTATCTTATACAGCAAAATTGCAGCTATGGGTCAAACTAGTCAGCCTATAGGTATATATCTGGCATCAGTAATCTCAGCTTGCCTCTAACTTCTCAAGTGGAAAGCACAGGGGCACCCTGGGAAGTGATGGAAGCGTGGGTCAGGGTGTTCTGGTCACCCACCCATGCATCTGATGCCCATCTGTGCCCCTGGACCAGGTGGTGGTAATCACAGTTCAATCCCAAGCTGCTGTTAATCTCTAGGGAGGTCTGCAGGTCTGGCCCACAGTGTCCACCAAGAGGCCCGGCCCTTTTCAGATTCATCTCCAGCTGCAATTTTGATGTCTTGTTCTCTGCACTGACTCCCTGACGAGAAGGCTGATCCCTCTCTGCCTGTTTATTTCTGTCAACAGCTGTCTGGGACGGCAGTCCCTGATGGGATCCGTACACACCTTGAGGCATCCGAGGCTCGCAGCTGGTGAACAGCTTACACAGAGGGAAGAGGAATATGGAGTAGATGGGCCAGCAGGCTGATCCACAGGCAGGTTGACAGAGTGGCGTAGGGACCGAGGGACACGCCCACCAAGGCCCGTAATCCCAGCGCTCATGGAGGCTGAGGCAGGAGCATCACAAGTTCTATTCAATCCTGGGAAATTTAACAAACTAAACCGCGTCGCAACCTAAAAAATAAACTAGAGCTCAGTGAGACCTTGCCTAAATCCAGCGCCGCAAGACTACTAGCGACCAGCCCTGTTATGAAACCCTTGTTCCGCCAGGGGGCGGCCGAGCGCCGAGTCTTCTGTGCTGCGCCTGCGCCCGAGGGGCGGCCGCGTCCGTCCTACGCATGCGCAGGGCAGCTTCGTGGTGACGGAAGCGAGAAGATGGCGGCGTCCGTGGTCTGCCGGGCGGCCCGAATTGGGACCCAAGCGGTGCTGCGCTCCGGTCGTTGGGTGAGGTGGCGGCGAGGACGCGGGGCTGCAGGGGTCTGGGGTTCGGGACACGGGAGGGATTAGTGTTAGCGATGGCGGTTCGAGGTGGCGAGATTGCGGAGTCTGGCCGCGGGAAGGTCACGGTAGAGGGCAGGATGCGCTCTGCACATCCCGGAGCGCAGTGGTGGGGGACAGGGTCCCGCTTGGGGCCAGGGGCGATACCAGCCCCGACCTCATGGCGCCGCCTCTTTCCGCAGCCGGCCCTGCTGGGGGCCCCTGCCTTGCGGGGCGCCGCGACCTATGCGCAGGCTCTGCAGGCCGTGCCGGAGACGCAGGTCAGCGTTCTGGACAACGGGCTGCGCGTGGCCTCGGAGCACTCGGCCCAGCCTACCTGCACGGTGAGTGGGACCCAGGCGCCGATCGGCTTCCGTCTGCGCCCGCGGGGGTGGCCTTGGCTTGAGTCCTGTGCCCACTCTGCTCGCTGGATGGCCCCCTTTACGACTTCAGTCTTGTCTTCTCTACAGTTCTGCCCCGGACAGTGCTAGATGCAGTGGGCGTTCGTTCGCGCACCACCCACCGCCCACCAGGCGACTTTCCCAGCTTCTTGTTCATCCTGTGTGAGAGAGGATGGTGAAAAAAAATGGGGAGAATGGGATTCACAGATATTTTTAGGTGACTTGCAAGGGATCTAGAACTGTCACCTTCACAGCCAAATTCAAGAAGTGCATTCAAATCCAAATGCAATGGAGGATGCCTGTAATCCCAGCACTCCCGGAGGCTGAAGCAGGAGGATGTCAAATTCAAGCACAGAGTGGGCAGTTTAGCCACTTAAGCTACACACCTTTTCTCAAAAACCTGGGATTGGGGGTGAGGATGTAGCTTAGTGCAAAGGCCCAGAATTCAGTCCCTAGTACCAGAAAAAATAAAGGTGTTCAAGAGGCTGGGAATGTAGCTCAGTAGTAGAGCGCTTGACTAACATGCCCTGGGTTTGAGCTCCAGCACTGGGAAAAGGAGAGAGAGAAATGCATTTGAAGATTACAAGGAAATGGGTGATTTTCCAAATAGAAATCTTCAAAATTGACTCAAGAATAGAATTTTGACTAGGTCAGTGAATATGTGAGAATATTCCCAAGAAGTAATCCTCTCATCACCACCTGATCACCACTTCCAGGGCCAAATGTTTTTTATTGGAAAGCTTTCTGTTTTGTTTTGAGACAGTTTCGGTATGTAGTTCAGGCTGGTCTTAACCTTACTATGTAACCCAAATGGCCTCACACTCAGGGTGATCCTCCTGCCTCAGACTCCCCAGTGCTAGGATTATAGGTGTGGGCTACCAAACCCTGCTATGGGCAAATTCAGTTTTCCAGGAACAAATAATGTTCTATGATGTAAATTGTTACTGCACACAGAAAAAAGTGGTAAACAACTTGTTACTATACATTGGGTGTGATGGGGCAAACCTGTAGTCCCAGCACTGGAAAGCCTAAGGCAGGGGATCATCATGAGTTTGTGGCCAGCCTGGGCTACTTAGCAGACCCTACCTCAAACAAACAAACAAACAACCACCACAAAAAAAAAAAAAAAAACAAAAAAAAACAAACACCAAAAGAGAAGACTGTATAAATTGACCTAAAGCCTGCTAAGACAGTTCAGTGGATCATGTTATATTTTGTGGAATCTGAGAAGATATAGATTATAAGCTGCACCATGTGTTCCCATGCCAGAGAAACAATACTGGGTTATAAAATGGATTTGCTTTCTAAGATGTTAAACTTGAAATACACATTCAACTAAGATTTCTGAGACAGGGTCTCACTGTGGTTCAGACTGGCCTTTAACTCACTGGCCCAGGCTGGCCTCAGACTCCTGCCCCAGTCTAGGGTTACAGGTGCTAGGATTACAGGTATTCACTACCATGGCTGACTGCATTCAGCTAAGATTTTACTACATGCAGTATGTATATCGGCATCTGTTGCGAAAGTAGATGTGAGAGATTGAAATCAGTTGTAAACAGATAGTAAACTAAAAATGAGACCATTGTGACTATGCGTATTTTTCTTTTTTTACATTAAATTTTATTGGTATATTTTAGATACACATAACAGTCATGGTAGTGTTTCACAGCACCCTAGTCGGTAGTGTTCAGCGCTCAGGTCTGATTAAAAGCTTTCATGGCTGTCGGTGCAGCTCAGTGATGGAGCCCTTGCATGGCATGTGAGTAAAATATTAAGCTGGAGACAGTCCTGGCCTCTGAGGAGCTTGAAACAGATGGATTGCTTGACCCCAACGTTTGAGGCAAAGCCTGGACAGCATGACGAAACTATCTCAACAACAGAAGAAGCTAGTGGAAGATTGCTTCCTTAGTATGATGAAATGTACAGTGTCTAAACTAATAATCTTCCTTAATGATGAGAGAATAAAGTGATGGTAGCAAAGGCAGGATATTCTTTTTGTAATGCAGAAAATAAGTTGTTTGCAGATGTTAGGTTTCATTACCAGAAAAGGTAGAAACAGCTGAAAAGAGACTAACACTTGAAATTCGACTTACTTGAGAGGCTGAGGCAGGAGGATTGCAAGTTCAGCCTAGGCAACTTGAAAAGACCTTGTCTCAAAGTAAAATATTTAAAAGCGTTGGGGATATAACTCAACTCTTAGAATGCTTGCCTATTATGTGTTAGGCCCTGGGTTCAACCTAGCAGCACGCGCGCACACACACACACACACACACACACATAAAACATGGTGGCAGTGGGAGCAAATAGGCACAGCGATGTTTGTGGTATCCCTGATGATAGTGATGGAATAGGATGAGAAGAAGGTGTACAGGGTGGTGTCCCTTGGTTGGCCCATGACATGACTCCGCGGGGCCTCAAGCATGGGATTTACAGGGGCACTGCATCCCACCTTGGGTCTCTGCCCCCTGGGTGGAGCTCATACTGAGTTATTTGGGTGGGTTGTGATACAGGTCAGTGTGATTTTTTCCTTTTATTGGTGGTTTCTGGTCCAGGTAGGAGTGTGGATTGCTGCCGGCAGCCGTTATGAGACTGAGAAGAACAATGGGGCAGGTTACTTTGTGGAACATCTGGCTTTCAAGGTGAGGCTCATGAAGTCTGTGACTTCCCTGGGCTCAGGGCTCCCTGTTTTAAGAAGGAAGGTCAGGAAAATAAGCCTCCTAAATACAAGGTCTGGCCTTCCAGGAGTCATGTGGGCTTAGCTTCTCTGAGTGAGTACTTACCTGATGAGCCTCTGCATGAAGTCCACAAAGCCAAGAAAACGTAAGGGGCCACAGGAGCCCCACCTACCACTAGGCAGGTGGACCCGTGTCCTGTGCATGCTTCCGCATGGACTTGCTCAACTTAACATACAGACGCACATGCGCTGTGTACCTTAGAGCATAGAAGTGCATGCTGCAGGACTGGTGGGACAGCTCAGCAGACTAAGCGCCTGCTTAGGCAAGTGCAGGGACTAGGGTTCAGTCCCTGGTACCACGTGCTATTTCGGCCCCACCTCTGGGCGAGCTGAGCCAGCAACTGAGTCTGGGCATGATGGCACACACCTGTAATCCCAGTACAAGGGAAGCTGAAAACCGGAAGATCACTAAGAATCCCAGCTGTGCAGTGAGACCCTGTACCAAGTATATAAATTAAAAAAAATAAAAAATAAAAATAAATATAAATATAAATATAAATATATATATATATATATATATATATGTATATGCTTGTGAAATGTCCTGCTTGGGTGGCTATCTGTGCACCCCTGATTGCAGAGGCCCATGTGTTTATAAGTGAACAGAACAAGATGGGGAAAAGGGTTTGGGATAGGCGAGTTGTGGAGCCGGAAGAGGAAATCCAGACAGCTCCATTATTATGTGTGTACATGCATATGCATGATTATATGCCATGAGATGGCACACAGGACGGCGCCACTGCCCCTGCACATTCATGGGACTGCAGTGGGTCCTCCCGGGGTAACTGGGGGCAGACACACAAAATCCTATGAATGGCTCGGCTGGGGAGTAAGTCACGTCACTTGTGCAGGCAATGGGCCTTTAATATTTGAGCGGTATAAGGGCCAGCCAGATAGCTCAGCACCTGCTTAGGCAGACGCAGGGGCCAGGGGTTCAATCCCCTCGTGTACCCTGCTGGCTGCCCCCCCACCCCCGGGTGGCACTGACATGGCGATTGAGATTGGGCATAGTGGCTCATGCCTGTAATCCCAGTGCTTGGGAGGCTGAAAACAGGAGAATCGCTACGAGTCCAATCTACCTACTGAGACCCTATAGATCCTGTATTAAATACATTAAAAAAAATTCGAGTGGTATGGACTCTGGGCCCTGTATCCCTACAGTCATTGCTGAGGGAAATACTGGTTAACCACTTGTAAGGACAGGATTTGTGGGCTTCTGCGTGACTACTGATTGGTCTTCTTGGTGCCTGGTTGTAGGGAACCAAGAATCGGCCTGGCAGTAACCTTGAGAAGGAGGTAGAGAGTATGGGAGCCCATCTTAATGCCTACAGCACTCGGGAACACACAGCCTACTATATCAAGGCACTGTCCAAAGACCTGCCCAAAGGTAATACCTGTGAACCAAAGATTGGACTTTAGGGGAGTAGGGAGAGACTCCCAGGAGCCCCAAGCCAGGTGCACAATCAGACTCCATGGGTTATCAAAGGGGGCGGCATGAGATGCCAGGCTTGGAGAGATATGCTGTCGTCACCTACCTAACATAACTCCATGTGTGCAGCTGTGGAACTTCTGGCTGACATCGTGCAGAACTGCAGCCTGGAAGACTCACAGATCGAAAAGGAACGAGATGTGATCCTGCAGGAGATGCAGGAAAACGATGCCTCTGCGTGTGATGTTGTCTTTGACTACCTACATGCCACGGCCTTCCAGGGCACCCCCCTTGCCCAGCCTGTGGAAGGGCCCAGCCAGAACGTCAGGTGAGACTGCCCGAGCGGGCAGCAGTGCGCGGGTACTCTGGCCAGACCTCGTCTTCTATGACACGTGTTTAGTTGGCTGCTGCCTGTGCTATTTCTCATTCACACAGGTGGACACAGGCTCTGTATTGGCCTATGTCCCTGTGAGCTTTCTCTTTTTTGTAGTGACTATGTGGTCCTCACTTGATGGATGGGTGGCAGATATGGGGGAAGAGGATTGATTGAGGGTCTGTCAGGGCTTGCTCTTCAGAGAAGCCAGGCCTCTTTCAGCTCTTTTTTTTTTTTGAAACAGGTTCTCACTTCCCATGGAACTATCTCAGGCTGGCCTTAGATCCATAGCAGTCCTCCTGTCTTAGCCTTCTGAGTGCTGGGATTATAGGCATGTGCCAGTACATCTGGCTGTCAGTTCCATTTCGTGTGACTCAGCTTGCTGACCTGTTGGCCACGTGTCTTGCAGGAAGCTGTCTCGCACGGACTTGACGGAGTACCTCAGCAGGCATTACAAAGCCCCACGCATGGTGCTGGCAGCAGCTGGAGGTGAGTGATGGTCTTGTGGAAGCCCTGGGCAAGTTATCTGTAGCCATAGAGAGCCTTCTGCTCCAGGAGATTGTCCTGGAGGGGAGACAGACCCCTCTCTCTAGGTAAAGTTGCTTCTGCCCTCCTGCCACCTCTGAGACTGGCCCCACGGGCACTGATGCTCAGGCTGCTGACCCCACCCCTCCCCACCCTGGAGGGCTCAGGCCTTTCTTAGCACCTCCTGCCAACCTGGGCCTAGAATGTGGGCTGGTGGGCACATAGCCCCTAGCTTGTTCTTGTGGTCATGCCATCAGGAGAACCAGGCACTGGCTGTCATGATGGACTAGGAGCGTGTTGGAAGGAAGTGCAGAGTAGCAGGGGAACTGTTGATGGGGGACTCAGAGCTGAGGCAGGGGTAGACGTATGTGACATTTGTGCCTGAACAGGGACTGTAGAGGATGGTAGGATTTAGTTCCATGGGGAGCGGGCAGCCTGGCAGTGGGGGAGGTCAGTGTTGTGGCCTGATGCCTGTTTAAGGCTTGCCACCAGGTGGGAGCAGAGTAGAAGCAGGCCAGCTTGCGGGGGGCTATGGTAGGTGCCTGGTGGGAAGAGAAGTGGTACCTTCAGGATGGTTTTCTAAGTTGAAAAAAACCTGACACAGGTCTGGATGTAGGTGGGGGAGCAAGCTCCAAGATGCTTCCTTCCTGCTTATGATTCTTGCCAGCTTTATGGTAAAAATAAAACAATAGTAACAGCTGATAGGAAGAAGATGATAGGACTTTGGAACCAGGAAACTTTGGGACCAAGAATAGCTCAAGTTATTGCTACCTCAAGTTATTGCTACCTCAGATGTTATACACTCTTAGCAGGGCTAACGCAGGAGGTCCACGGACATAGCACTAGATGTTCCAGACACTGGGCTGCAGAGGCCTCCTGTAGGATGAGGGGAGAAGGTCTGGCAAGGGGTTCTGAGGACAGTTTGCAGTGTTGCTGCAAATGTTCCCCCCTCTCGGACCCCAGAGCTCACAGGCTTCCTGCAGTAGTGCCTCTGTGCTCTCTCACCTGCTCCTCCTGCAGGCCAGGGCCCAGATCTGCTTGACTTAGGGCTTGAGGAACAAGGCAGCAGCCAGGAGCCTTGTGCCAGAGAGCTTTAGTGTTGTCCTTGATGCAGGTGAAATGCTGCTTCTAGGCTGAGAATCGGCCTTTGTGGTGTTTTTCTCCTGTCCCTGATGCTAGGGGAGCTGTTTGACTCTGAGGCACCTGTCCTGCTATGAGGCGTGGTCTCTGTGAATGAACTTCCCTCAGCCTGCCTCAAAAGTCCTGTCTCGGGGACTGGGGAGATGGCTCAGTAGAATAAGCACTTCCCTGGCAAGTGCAAGGGCCTGAGTTCAATCCCTGGTTCTGCCAAAAAAAAAAAAAAAAAAAAGAAAAAGAAAAAGAAAAAAATTCCTGTCTCTTCTGTTGCTCCTGCTGAGATACACGAAGGTCCTGCATCTGTGTGAGACCCTTGCCGCTGCCCTGTGTCCTGGCCCTGACTGGCCAGTAGCATTGCTGTCTGTTTCTGCAGGGATAGAGCACCGGCAACTGCTAGACCTTGCCCAGAAGCACTTCAGCAGTGTCTCTGCAACATACCCAGAGGATGCCGTGCCAGCTCTAACTCCGTGCCGCTTCACTGGGAGTGAGGTACACTAGGGGTGGTCAGGGAAGGAGCTGTCAGCTGCGGACCTCTGGGAGGGCCTTCATCTGCACAGTCATCCTTTTGGTTCCAGAGACTGGGGAGGAACCCTATGGCTCCTGCCTCACATGCACCAAGCACATGTCTTACTAATGTGTTTGCATCCCTGCCCACACCAGCCACCCTGTGTTCACCCAGGTAGTCTGGTTGTCCCTCAGCCTTGACATGCACTGTTTTAGATACGCCACCGTGATGATGCCCTGCCTTTGGCTCATGTGGCCATCGCAGTAGAAGGACCTGGCTGGGCCAACCCAGACAACGTAGCTCTCCAAGTGGCCAATGCCATCATTGGCCATTATGACTGCACGTACGGTGGTGGTGTGGTAAGTGCTAGGGCTGGGCATGGGACTTGTCTTCAGGAGAAGGGGAGGGGACCATGTGCTCCTTAGCTTTGGACACAAGATGCTGATTGTCTTTGGCCCTGGCAGCACCTATCCAGCCCACTAGCTTCAGTAGCTGCAGCCAAGAAGGTGTGCCAGAGTTTTCAAACCTTCAACATCTGCTACACAGAGACGGGGTTGCTAGGGGCGCACTTCGTCTGTGACCGCATGAGCATTGATGACATGATGTTCTTCCTGCAAGGCCAGTGGTGAGTGCCAGCCTAGTTACTGCCTTAGTTCAGGGTGGTGGGCTGCTGAAGACTGCACGGTTTCCGGAAAGTATAGCACACCCCCACCTCCACCCCTGCTTTAGGATGCGCCTGTGCACCAGTGCCACAGAGAGTGAGGTGACTCGGGGCAAAAACATCCTCAGAAATGCCCTGGTATCTCATCTGGATGGTGAGTCTTGTAGCCTTATAGTACGACCTAGCAGTGATAGCTGAACAGCCCGAGTGTGGCCATCATTCCTAGCTAAGGTTGGAAAGGCAAACATTGAAGTTGTGCCATTTAATCCCTCCCCACCCCCATACACACGCACCTGGGGATTTGGAACTTGAGGGGGAGGGGAGATGGCGGGGCCCCAGGTTACTAGTGGCAGGCTGTTAAAAGGTGAAGGTTGTGACCTCGGGTCAGAGCAGAGTCCTATAGGTCATGGTCAGCTGGGCATTGTGTGTCTGTGGGTCAGGGATAGGATTGGGCAGGCCTCTAAGCTTTCTCCCACTCTCAAAGGCACCACGCCGGTCTGTGAGGACATTGGACGCAGCCTCCTGACCTATGGCCGCCGCATCCCCCTCGCTGAGTGGGAGACCCGGATTGCGGTAACATGGGTCCCCAGGAGAGATTCTGGGGTCTTGGCATGGCAGATACCTGCCACTGGGAAGCGGGTGATTGGGGCCTGACAGAACAGAGTCTGCCATCTGTTGTCCTAGGCAGCTGTCACTTGCAGGGCTGCTGTAGTCAGGCAGGGTGGTGGCATCAGTGATGTATGAGCGTAGAGGGGCTATGGAGACCCCGGCTACCTTTCCCTGTTTGAGCTTCGGGGACCATTCTAAACATGTGGACAATCTTGGTCAGCTACAGAAAGTTCACTGGCTAGGTGGTGCCAATGCCTGTCAGTCACGTGCCTTCTGCTTCTCTCTGAAGGAGGTGGATGCCCATGTAGTACGTGAGGTCTGCTCCAAATACTTCTATGACCAATGTCCAGCAGTGGCGGGATTTGGTGAGTAAGCTACATCTGTTCTTTGTCTTTTACCTTAGCCATTGTTTAGCTTCCCCTTCCACCTCTGCTTCCCCACCCCAACCTACACTGAGAGGAGCAAGTTGAGGGTCCCATGTTGAAGGTCCCACAGTGAGGGCCCCACGAGGCTTCCCCAGTAGCCTGGCTGCCAGGGAGTTCTTGCTCAAAAAACCTGCCCCAGCAGCTCCCTGACTCCCTGCCACAGGGCCTCCATCAGTAACCCCACCCACCAAGTAACGGGTACCCTGGGTGTGGGGTGGAGTTCCAAGGGCCAGAACGTGAAGGGACAGGCTCTGTACCCCTGAAGGAATGTTCTCTTCCCTCTTTTCACTCAAAGCCTGTCTTGTGCAGTATTGGGCAGCAGCTCTGAGCTGGGTATGGCACAGGGCCAGGTGTCCCTGTGCAGGCCAGGCACCGCACCCTGACGCCACACCCTTTATCCCCACAGGCCCCATCGAGCAGCTCCCAGACTACAACCGGATCCGCAGTGGCATGTTCTGGCTGCGCTTTTAGGCAGGAAGCCTGTGCAGGGAAAAGGGTGGGGCTGGGGCTCCTGGTCCCCCACACAAACAGCCACTCCAGCTCCTCCAAGTGTGCAGCAGAACACCACCAATAAAGTGTCGTGGTGAGAAGTGTGTGTCCTTCCTTGAGCACTGGCACCAAGTCTGTTGGGCAGTAATGGGGAACGAGAGCTTCTACAGTCCCTGCATCCTTCTGCCTTCCCTCAGGCTGATGTGTCCTCAGCTGGGGGCAAATGTGGGGGCTGCAGCACAAGGCCTTTGATGCTTTGCAGGAACTTGATCCCAGATGTTTCCACTCAACCACGGGGGAGGTGGAGGGTGAGTTCCTTAGCCAGCCTGTCCCAAGAGCAGGATGTGGGCAGTCGTGGGAACTGCAGCCCCTGCCGGTGTCTTAGTAGGGGTCCCATCTAGGAAAGCCTTCCCTGCAGACCCTGTAGGGGTGGTCTGCTGGGGATGGACTAGAGGGACCAAGGGCATCCCTGAAGAAGCCACCCTCCTCTGTTTACTCTGGATTCTGAGAAAGAATAGCCTGGGGCGGTGTTCTCCTTTGGTTTCTAACTGCTGCCTGGGCAGGCAGGACAAGAATCCTTGCCTCTTTTTGCCACTGACTCAGGATCTAAGAATAGCCCTGAGCTCAGTGGGGCCTGAGCCCCACTTGACTAGGTCTGTCCTTGGCAAGTCTTGAGCTGCTTGCCCCATGATCCTCTCCCCGTTTTCCTAAGGCAATCAGAACCTCAACTGCCTTGTCCTGATACCCCTATACCCCTTTGGGCCCTAGTCCCCAAGGTGAGTGGTCAGGTTGTCCCTTCTTTCTGTATAGCCGCATTCCTTTCACACCTAGCACACCCAGGTTCCTGGGGAGTTCAAGGGAGAAATGGAAGGGAGGGCCCCATTCCTCTTTGAGGAAGTTACTGGCTGATCATGAGCAGGGTCGTGAGCCAACATCACTGAGAAAGAGGTTTTCAGAAGTCTACCTAGCATCCTAACCTAAAAAAGCCTGGAGTTACCCTCATCCTGTTGAAGTGTGTTTCCCTCACACCCACATCCTGCCAGAGGTTGTCAATTAGGAGACATCTGTCAGTCACCAGAAGCCCAGAACTGAATGCTCTGGGTCATTTCCTGCTGTGTGACCAGCTGTAGAAAAGCTGTTGGGCAGTGTGGGAGCCTGGCAGGCCAACGCTGGCTGCTTGCAGAGATGTGGTGTACGGGCAGGAGGAATGAGTGCCCAGCACACTGCTCTGGAGTTTTAGGTCCTGGAGGATGGGGCTGGATTTCCCTTCCAGGCCCAGTGCCTGACCTCAGGGGCATAGGTGTACTGGGTGCGTGAGAGCTCGAGCTACAAACCAAGGCATTTGCTCTTGCCCCTGGTGGCATGCTGGGGAGGTCCTCCAGAGACTGAAGAGAAGGGACTCATTCAGAGCTGAGGTTTATTAGCACTGGGACTCGGCCTGGATCTCAGTGGTGGTTGTGGTGAGGCAGGCTGGGGTCTGGCCCTTCCAAATGAGAATAGCATCCCAGCAGGGCTGGGAGAGCATTGGGGAGGAGTGGGTTGGAGGGAACAGCTGCTCAGCTTTAGCTGTGGTTCTGGTACGGAATTGAGATACACAGGACCCTGCGATGTGAGGGGCTGGTGTCACGTTGCAGAGCTGGTGACAGACATAAGCAAGGGAATGTCCGGGGAAGCATAGGAAGGAGGTCTGTCTTTGGTGGTCCCACTGCCCTGATGGGAGCAGCTGCAGGTAGGCACTGGGCCCCGATCCTGTGCCTGAGTCCTTGTCTACTATGAGGCACCTACGAGGAGGCTGACCCTGGGACTCTCAGAGGGCCACATCCCTGCTCAGCCTCATGGGACCTGCAGACATGCATGCATCCCTAACCAACCTTGCTTTCCCTTCCCTACAGCCTTCCCAGTCCCTTTGACCCCTCACAGCTGCCCCTCATTCCAGAGGGCTCCTCAGTTCTGCTGTGATTTACCTAAACACCCACACTCAGAGCTGGGCCTCTCTTCTCAGGCTGGCCCACAGTACACGTGTGTCTGTACTGTGTGCTGTCAGCTTACCTGCTGCTCTCACCCTTGTTCAGGAGGTGAAGGCTCTGGGGACATGGCCTGCCTCGGTGATGACAGTATGGTCTCCACTGCCTTCTATAGTATCTTTCCAGGGATGATAGATCCTCGGCACAGCTGAGGTGATCTTACCCTTGGATCACTGTCCCAGCACAGTAGCTGGGTTGGGAAAGTCAGAGATAAGGGGTGGCTGCAGCTCTGGGCAGTAGGAAAGTTGGCAGTATTGGGTGGTCTTCACTGCCCCCAGGTCTGGCCACACCACAGTCTTTAGGCCTGGAGGAGTTTAGGGAGACAAATATCTGAAGTTCTGTCCCAACCTAGTTCCTGGATCCCAGGGGAGGGAGGCGACAGGACCAGGTAAGGGCTCATAGTGGTGGTGAGTATAGAGTGGCTCCCTCCATGCCCAGAATACTCAGGATGGGTAAGAAGATGGGAGTCTAGTTTTCTAGGATTCTGTCCATGCCACAGCATCACCCACATAAGAGCTATGCAGGTACAAAAACTCCCTCAAGATGGTGGTCCTGCCCAGCACTCAGGAGGTTGAGGCAGGAAGGTAGGCATGAGTTCAAGACTAGCCTGAGCTACATAGTGAGACCCTGCCTCAAAAACAAAAGACAGGGGCTGGGAAGATAGCTCAGTAGAATAAGCATTTGCCTGGCAAGCTCAGGGTTCTGAGTTCAATCCCTGGTAACACACACACACACACACACACACACACACACACACACACACACACAAAGAGGTTCTGGATTTGAGGACTAGGATGGGATCCAGTCAGAAGAGGGGTGGGAAGTCCAGCTGATCAGAGGAAAGAAGTGGGTCAATTATGAAAGGGGAAGCTACAGGTACCCCTGAGGGCAGTAAGAAAAGGAGACAGGGCCTGGGGTTTGAGTGGAACAGGTCTTACAAGAAGAATAGATTGAAGGAGGGGAGTCCAAGGCATGTAGGTAGGGACCCTGACTTGAGACTTGGACAAGCTCCCCATTGGGGCATAAGCTGCAGGAGGTGGATTCCTGAGAGCTGAGCTGTCGCCGTGGGTGGTCCTAACCTCCACATCTGGACAGGCCCCCTTCCTGTAAACACAGCTGGATGGCATTTGCCTGGGACTAGATCAAGGCATTGGGGCGGGAGGGGGCATTGGGTTGGACATATATACATGACATAGATTCCTTTCTCTGCCTGCCTGCCCACTCCATGAAGGGGTTGCATTTCTTAGATCCAGTCCAATAGAGCCTAACGTCCCTAAAATAGGTTCAGAACCCCAGACTTGCTGGGGGCTGCTGTGTCTGTCAAGGAAGTTGGGGTGGGGCTCTCCTGAGAGGCCCACCAGATGGAGGGGTGGCTGATTCACAGGAGTGGCGTGAGTCAGGACTCATGGCCTACAGGCTTGTCTGGACACCCCCACCAGGTTGGGGGTGACTCATCTCCAGCTGCAGCTTCCCCCTACCTTGGCATAGCTACCCCCTGGTCTGAAGGAACCTGTCCACACTTCAGCCTGCAAGTCACTTCACTGGTCATTCTGTGACCTAATGTGAGTTGGTTGGGAAGCCCCTTCCCTGTCGAGAGCCTGGGGTTTCCCAGAATCCACAAGAGGGTTTTGACTTAAGTGGGCAGATTCTCTCTGGGAAGGAGTAGGGGCAGCCACCTCTGGGGCGGTGGGTGGGTGAGGCTGGCGCTCTTGTTCCCGCCCACCGCCCCTCCCCTTCCCTCCCCTCCCCTTCGCTCCCTCCCCAGGGATCTGGGACTTTTCTAGAGCAGTGCAAGGCGGGACTGCGACCGAGGCGGCGCTGGCAGCGGGAGCCGGGAGCCGACTGAGGGGCGCCGCAGGCAAGGCCAAGACTTGGGGTGGGAGAATGCTGGGCTCAAACCTGCTAAAACCTGGGGGGCAAGGGGCAGAGGCCGGGAACCTGGTTAAATGTTTCTGTCACTCAGGATGAGGCCGTGGCTCCTGGTAGCAGCCCTCTGCGCTGGGATCCTGGTGGGGGCGCCCCGACTGCGGGCCCAACCTGGGGAGAGAGGTGGGCACAGCGTCCAGTCACCCATCCTTCCATGTGGCCCTCATCTCTGACACCTCAACCTCCACGACCCCTCCTCCACCTAATTCTCAAATTTCCCAGATCCGCTGCAGTCTGGGGCTAGCTGGGTTCCCTATGTTACCTCCTGGCCATCTGCATGCTGAGCCCAGCCTTATGCTCCCCTACTCCCTTCGGCTGGTCCCCAGAGGCTGGTTTGAGTCCCAGATCCACACCAGAGCAAACTCTCCCTCCCTGCATGTCCTGACCCTTGCAGGAGAGTCATCCTGGGCCCCACAACGTTCCCTCCAAATGTTCCCAGGCTCAGGCTATTCTGTCTGGGTTGCTCTCCACCCCAGACTCAGTCCCAAGAGTCCACAAGGCCGGGGGAGGGCACGTGGACTCCCAGCAAAGGTCATGATCTTTCCTTGGGCCCCAGTGACCTGCACCCGCCTTTATGCCGCTGACATCGTTTTTCTACTGGATGGCTCCTCCTCCATTGGCCGCAACAACTTTCGAGAAGTACAGGGATTCGTGGAGGGACTGGTGCTGCCTTTCACAGGGGCAGCTAGTGCCCAGGGAGTGCGTTTTGCCATGGTGCAGTACAGTGATGATCCACGGTGAGTGTGGCCTGGGTGAGGTGGGGACCTGTAGAGTTCAACAAGCAGGGTGGAGAGTCTAGATACTCTTGACTCAAGGTTGTTCAGAGACAGGATTAGAGGAGCCTAGAGAGTCCCTACCTGGGACCTTCCCTGGAGATGGGGAGGGCTTCACTCCACAGGGCACACATGTTGCTGGGAGAGTACATGGCCCAACATGGGAAGGCTCTAGTTTTGATCTGGACGGTTAAGGAAGGAGGAGGGCTGGGACCCCCAGATGCCCAGTGCCAGTTGCGTGCTCTTGTTCTAGCTCTCTGACCCTTTCTGCATCTCTGTGCGTCGGAAGCACTCCCTGACTAGCCAAGTTCATCTTCCTACAACCTCCTCCAGCAATTATTTCACTAGACATTTTGTCCCTCTGAGCTGTGAACCCCA